TCACGAGCACAGGTGGCACATGAAGGGACAGGTGCCAATGCAAGGGGCCACTCCCTCTAGAAAATGTGCTTAGCGTCCATGTGGCCGAGGACAGGGGCACGAGGAGGCTCTTTCTGACAATCGAGTGTTGAAACCCCGGCCGGGGGGAGCGCGTTTGCCGAACTGCAACGTCAGAGTGCCTTCCGGCGTGCACTCGGGAGGCTGCTCCAGGAAGTGGCAGCAAAACCAAACCCCTCTGCTCTTCAGGTGACCCTTGGCTGCCCCAGCCAGGACCTCAGATGTCCCCAGAGCCGGGCCCCTCTGCTCAGAGCCTGGCCACCAGGAGCCGCACACGCTGTGTGTGGGCTGCAGGGAGGGGGATGGTGTCCACAGATAGAGGCTGTCCTCTTCCGTCCCCTCTCCCTGTCCTGTGCCCAGCAGGAAATCCTGGATCTGCTCCCCTGCAGGTCCTGAGAAGATAAGCAAGCATTGTGTTCTTGTTATCGTTTTCTGCATTTTGCAAGTTGCCTCCAATCAAACCTACAAAGAAAACACTGGGTCTTTTAACTTTTGCAACAAATTAACTAGATTGCTTCCTCCCGCCTTCCTGGAGGCGTACAGTCATTCTGTCCTGAGGTACCGCAGGAAGGATGTGCCACTAGACAACCTGAAGGATTCCTTGCCTGGGAGCCACCTGAAGGAGCCGCAGACTGGTGACAAGGGTGGTCGACAGCAGAGACGGAAGGTGCCGGGCTATCGTCCCAGCAGGACAGAAGGTACGATGTGCCACCAGGGGCTTGGATCCCAGCACGGACTCCGCCCTTTGGACATAAACTCCAGTGCGTGAATGAAAACCAAAGGAGCACACTGGCTGCAGAATCCAGGGCTGTGGCCTCTGCATTTGCCACTTGCCTGAAAGCCTAGAGATTCGGGAGGCCCCAGGCTGGGATGCTCAGGACAAAGTCTTCAGAGGACAAAGGTGCAGGTGGAATCCCTTTTTGCCGCCTGCAGCCAGCCGAGCCGGGGAGTTCGGGCAGTGTCTGTGACGAGCATCCTGAGCGATTGGGAAGCACCATTCTCAGAATTAGAGCTGGAGGGAACCTTCTTTGACAGATGGGTAAACTGAGGCCAAGCGATCTTCAGTGGCCACCTTGAGATTGCTCAGCTGGTGCCTGGAGCAGGGGGACCTGTCGGGAACCTGGTTCTTGCCCGACACCACGGCATCCTCGTACACGTTCCCAACTCTCCCCAACGCTTCCTCCAACCACGCCTATGCTTGAGTGGCTTCCAGAACTCTCTGCAGACTGTCTTCAAGCCCAACCACAGTGTTTCGGAATGTGGATGGTGTCCACTCGAGGTCTCCTGGAAGCCGAGGTGCTGGGGGCTGGGGGAAGGGGCAGGTGGTATAAGAAGCCCCGAGGCTGGCCGGGCGCAGTGGCTCACGCCTGTAATCCTAGCACTCTGGGAGCCCGAGGCGAGCAGATTGCTCGAGGCAGGAGTTCGAACACTGAGCAGAGCAAGAGCCCTCTCTACTATAAATAGAAGAAATGAATTGGCCAACTAATACATATATAGAAAAAATTAGCCGGGCATGGTGGCGCATGCCTATAGTCCCAGCTACTCGGGAGGCTGAGGCAGGAGGATCGCTTGAGCCCAGGAGTTTGAGGTTGCTGTGAGCTAGGCTGACGCCACGGCACTCACTCTAGCCTGGGCAACAGAGTGAGACTCTGTCTCAAAAAAAAAAAAAAAAAAAAGAAGAAGCCCCGAGGCTCTGGCATTACCCAGACCGCACCCCCAGGCAGAACATGGGGGGGGGGGGCAGGTCCTCCCTGCGGTGCCCCTCCTCCGCCCTTCCCAGGCTTCCCCAGTGACTTTGCAACTCCTTTCCCCCTGTTCATTGTATCCATGTTCATCTGCAGACAAACATCCGGAAGGATGGGCAGACCCCGGGCAGCAGGAAAGCCTCTGTGTCCGTGCTGGATGCTGCCACCAAGCCGAAGGTACAGCCCCCGTCCTGGGAAAATCCAGCGGCCTGGAAGGTGAAAGGACCCAATTGCAGGTCGCCGCAGTGGGCAGGGGAATGTGCGGCGTGCTCGGGAACTTGAAAGATCTCCAGTTCCTGAGGACTGAGGAGCAGCTGGTGTTTTTCGCTCTGTTCAAGAAGAAACCAACTGAAGGAGCCCCCGAGGGCTGAACGGACCGGTCACAGCAGACTGTGCTCGAGCTGGCCGCGCCAGGTGGTGTTGTCCTTGAGCATCTGACATTTGGTATTTATTTCCAAAAAAAAAAATTAAGTACCAAAATGCTGACCATAGTAAAAATCAGAAATGTGTTCATCTTCCTTACATGTATGGCATGGTATTATCTTTTGGTTTTTTTAAAATTATAGATGGGGGGATGACAGTCACCCTTCAATGTTTAGGGTTTACAATGATCTTCTTTTCTTCAAAATATTAAGCCAATGCTTTTGCTACATGGATTCATCGTATAATGCAGAAGTCAAGGCTTTTAGTGTGCCTGCCACCAGGACAGCGTTCCCTGTGTTAATAAAATGATCTTATTTTAGCCCTGCAACTAACTACCCATGCCAGAAGAAAATGTGAACGTGAGAAGGGCCTTAAAGAGCGATCAGAAGCTTGCATGCATGCGTGTGCACACCTGTGCGTGTGCGTGAGTGTGTGCGAGTGCAGCCGGAGGCGTGGAAGGCCCTTGGGAAGGTGGATTGGGTCTGAGGAGGGAAGCCACAGGTGAAATTGCACACACAGAGGGGGTCCTAGGTGGCCACCGTCGGACACTGAGGAACACCCCTGACCACGGCGGAAAACGCACTTGCAGAAGCCACGGGAGGGGCGCAGAAGGGCGCAGCTCCGTGATAAAAGGCCTGGAAAGGCGTTTTCAGCAGAGAGGTTGAGTGACAAACTGCAGAGGGAAAGTCTTGGGACCAGAAGGCCCCTGGTCTGACATGGGGCTGGCCCAGTCTGGTTGGCAGGTGCCCTCCCAAAGCAGACGTCCGTCCCCTGGGTTCCCTCTCCCGAGAGAGCATGCCACAGTGCAGGTCAGAGGCAGGCTCCCAAGTGGCCAGGGAGCGCAGTTCATGTCCTGTCCTGTCCTGTCCTGTCCTGGGTGGTCCTGTGGGAAAGGCAGACCGCAGAGGTCTGAGCCCCGGCTCTTGTCTAGCTCACGATTCGCTGAGACACAGAACCTCTCTCAGCCTCACTTCCTTTATCTCGAAAATGGAAACAGCAACACCGGGCACTTCAGAGGACTGTCTTGAGGATAAACGGATGCACGGGAAGCACTTTGCACAGTTCCCAGAGCTGAGAAGGTGCCCAGTAAACATTCATTTCACATTGTTGTCATTAATACTAGAACTTTCAGCTGCTGTTCCCTTGCCCCTTCTGAAGGTGGGGACGTGTAAGAATACTCGGAACGCCGTTGTCTGGAGACATTTTCTAGGATTCCAGACCCGAAAGGGACCTCGAGAAGACAGTCAAGATCCCGGTCTCGGAGCAGGGCCGCACCTGGTCACCTGGGAGACGTTCCGGTTTCTTACACACCCGGACCTTCAGGAAGTGGCATCCACAGAAAGGGCGGATGGATGGTACCTTCCTCTTCATGCAGATGAAAAGACAGACAGACAAGCCCAAAGCTTCACGTGGTTGGCAGCTTGCAAAGGTCTCGTCCTGTGCGGTCTAATAATGCCCTAAAATGCACTGTCACAGAGCAGCACCTTCATATGCAAAAAGTACTCGAAGCAGCCCAGGTATTTGATGCCTTGGTGCAGGGGGCCGCCCCCTGAGTGCCGGGACAAGCGAACAGATGTCTGTGCCTTCTAGGAGTTTGCCAAGCAGAGACCACAGGGCAAAAGCGGGCAGGAGGTGCTAATGATGGGGAGGACCCTGAGAGCCTCCAGTCACCGCAGAGAGAGGTGAGGTGGCCACTTACACAGGAAATGACGGTGACCCCCAGGACAGCGGCAGTGGGTCCCAACGGCCCCGGCTGACGAGGGGGACAGAACCCATCACCCTGCTCTCTGGCGTCACCTTCCCCCAGGTGTCCCCACGCCCTGCACAGCCAGGCGCCCACACGGGCACCTCGGCTCCGGCTGTTTAGAGGGAGGAGGCCAGGACGTCCTCCCGCCGCGGCCTCGCGCTGACAGTTCGCGCGGGTTGAGGGAGAAGGAAGAGGCGGCGAGGTGGGTGGAGGGCGCGGAGGGCTCAGGGCGCAGCGCGGACGGGGCGGCCACCCGCTTCCTCTCTCAGGCCCGCAAGTCCCTGTGCCCAGGCGCCAGCCCCTCCCAAGCCAAACACAAAGTGCAGGAGTCGCTTGGCTCTGGTGCGAACGTAAAATCGCGTCCCCACCCTCTGCGGCTGCGGCTTCTGTCCGGGGCTCTGCGCTGAGGGTGGCCCCGGCTGCCCGCCCGCCTGGGAAACGCGGCCTCCCCGGGCACCTGGGCCTCCCCGGGCACCTGGGCCCCGCGCAGGGCAGCGGAGAGGCCGGGGCGCCCGGGGCTGGAGTCGCGCGCGGGGCAGCGCCTGCGGGGGACAGGTGCCCTCCGCGCCTCGCTCCGCTTTTCTGGGCGCGGGCTCCGGCCCCCGCACGGCCGCCTTCGCTACCCGCGAGCTCGGTCCCCGAGCGAGGAATTCAGGCCGGTGGTCGAACGACCTCCCGGGGCTGGCGCAACAGCGGCCTCCTGCGCCACGCCGGCCGGCCACGGGACGGCGGCCACCTGGCGCCTCTGGTTCCCGCCCCTGCTCGGGACGGGCCGGCTGCGGGATGCGAGGATTCGCCTGAAGTGCCGCGACTCGTGCCCGCCGCTGCCCGGCTCCGGCACGCGCGGTGGCCGTGGAGTCGCCAGAGGGGCCGGCGCGGGGCCGGAGGGCAGTGCAGGCCGAGGGGACCGGCGGCGGCGCGGGCGGGCTTTCCGCGCAAAGCAGGGGACGGAGCCGCCGGTGCGCGCAGGTGGCCGCGCGGGGCCCCGGGACGCGCGGGCGGGCGCGGGTCGCGACGGGCGAGCGTACCTTTCCTGAAGGGCATCTTGCCGGGGGCAGCCCCGCGGGGCCGGCCCGACACTCCCAGGCAGGGCGACGTGCAGGCGGCAGCCCCGGGCTCGGGGCGCCTGCGGGTGGCGCGGCGGGCGAGGGAGGAGAAAGGGACTTATTTGGTCAGAGGCTGGCGCGTCACGGCGAGGAGGAGGACCCGCGGCGAGGCAGGAAGCGCGGCCCGGCGCAGAGCGCCCGGCGCCCTGGGGCTGCAGGGGAAGCCGGGGTGCGGCCCCCCGTCCCGCCCGTCCCGCCTGTCCCGGGGCCGTGGCGCACGGACCCCCCAGTCCCCAGCGCCTCCCGCCTGTGCAGACGGTGCGCGGGGCGCGGGGAAGACAACCAACTCCTTCATCTGCTCCTTCGGGCTGCTGGGGCCACCACCCCGGGAAAGGACAGGGAGGGCGAAATTCCATCCCATTTTCACCTTTATGTCCTCGGCGCGCTCCCACGGCTAGTGGACGCGAATTGAAATTAAATGAGGGCTGGAGGAGCAACCCGCAAAGACCCGTCTCTAACCGCACTCCCACCTGCGGCACCTGCCGCCGGGCACTGTCCCCGCTGACAAACTCTGCATTTGTTCACGAGAACCAGGCGGGCAGATATTTTTCTCTCTTTTGGTCACTGCTGTTTCCCCAGAGCCCAGAACAGTCCCTCTCACACAGGCCCCCCCAAGAAAAACATCAAGGGGAATAACAGTGTGACATAAGAAACTGAGAATAGGAAGGAGGCGGGGGTGTCACCCTCGTCATTACTTTGCCCAGGCCAAGGCCAACACCTGAGAAGATCCCTTGCATCTGGCAGCCCTGGGCGTCTCAAACGCAGATGCTCTTTGGGGTCTGTGAACAGCCAATTCCTGTGAAAAGTGCTATCCACATTGCACTTTGGAGACGATGATGTTAGGAACCCTCGGGGAATGCAAACAGCAATTGGCAGCACATTTTTTTTTTTTGAGACAAGTGTTTTGCTCTGTTACCCTGGCTAGAGTGCCGTGGCATCAGCCCAGCTCACAGCAACCTCAAACTCCTGGCCTCAAGCGATCCTCCTGCCTCAGCCTCCCGAGTAGCTGAGACTACAGGCATGCGCCACCATGCCTGGATGATTTTTTTTTTTCTGTACAGATTTTTAGTTGTCTGGCTAATTCCTTTCTATTTTTTTTTTTAGTAGAGATGGGGGTCTCGCTCTTGCTCAGGCTGGTCTCAAACTCCTGACCTCGAGGCATCCTCCTGCCTCGGCCTCCCAGAGTGCTGGGATTATACAGGCGGGAGCCACAGCACTTTCTAAGTGGTGGGAAAAAGGCGTCCAGGTGAGCTGAAAAGTTGCAGCCGGCGGGTATAGGGATTCTCACTTCTCGTCTTAATCAGAACCCGTTTCTCAGCCTGCTGTCCTTTCTGAGTAAGAGTCCAAACTGCCTCCCCTTGTTGAAGGGAGAGGACGTGGGGGAGGGGGAAGTGGCTCTGGAGTCAGGTCAGGCGTCCTGAGGGCTGGCTTGGGAACAGGTGCTGGTGGAGCCATCAGAACAGCCCCTCCACCCCCAACCCCCGCCAGCCTCAGGGGCCCCAAGGCCTCAGAGGAGCAGGAAGCGGGGACCGAGTGGGGGTGGGGCGCAGTGTGTGTGTGACCCAGTTTCCACCTTGCGTGAGTGTCAGCGCCCTCCGCCCTTCCCCTGCCGTAACTGTAATGTCAGGCGGCCTTCGATTTGGCTCCCTGGACTTCGTTGCTGCAGGAAGCAAATGTTATCTAAAGCCAGCTGGCCCAGATAAAGAGGGCATCAAGGCTGCCCCATGCCAGGCACACGTGTGCTCGGAGGTGGAAGGGTCCCAGTCCCTCTGGTTGGCACCTTTGCTCCCGTGGACTTGTGCGTTCGCAAGGGTACATTGCTGCATGTTGGGTCTCTGGTCCTGGCTTCTGGCCCAGAGCTTCTAAAACCCTTGGAATGTCCAGGGTGATAGGAGTGTCATTTGAATGCCAAGGGGAGGACTGGGGCTGGCTGGGGGCCCTAGACAGCGTCAGGGTGGGGGCTGGGGGCCAGGAAAACCAAGGCAGGACTAGAGGGCGGGACCTAGAGCTCAACCCCTGACCTCGGGGGAGGGGAGAGGGGCTGCAGGTTGAGTTAGTCGCCAGTGGCAAATGCTCCATCAGCCGTGCCTGTGTACTGAAGCCTCCAGAAAACCCCCACATGACAGGGCTCAGAGAGCTTCCAGGCTGCTGAACGCCTGGAGGTGCGGGGAGGGTGGTGCTGCTCCTGGAGCCCCAGCCCCCGCCTGTGCTACGCGTCTCTGCAGCTGGCCGCCCTGAGCTTTGCGATAAACCGGTGCCAGTGAGCAAAGTTCTGTGAGCTGCTCTAGCGAATGAGTGAATGTGAAACTGGGGGCCCGGGGTTAGGGGAGTGTAGGAACCCTGGACTCTGCAGCCAAGTGTGGGTACGCCCGGGCGCCCAACGCTTCCGACTAGCACCCGAAGCCAGGGCAGTCTGGGGGCACTGAGCTCTGGAACCCGGTAATCAGTGTCAGAATTGAATTGAATTGAATTGTAGGCCACCCCGCGGGTGTGTGCGGAGTTGGAGAACTGGCTGTTAGTGTGGGAAAGCCCCACGCGCCTGGTATCAGAAGCGCTGCAAGTGAAAGCAGGTCAGACTGATGTCTTCTAATCTCTCTGCTTTGAATCTTCAAATCCTGTGTAGGGGGGGGAAAAAAAGAACTTTGGAACTCGTTACTGTCTTGTTTCCTTTCCTTGTTCAGATAACAGCCCCGTCAGTTTCGCTGTTGTTTAATAATCCCTGGGAACATTTGGATTTGCCGAGCCACCGGAGGCTGAAGGAGGGACACGCCACAGCCGTGCTGGTTGGGAGAAATGGGCAGGGTCCCTCTGGTTTTCAGACCCGGAGGAAAGATTTGAAGCAATTTTAAACTGAGAATATATTCCCAGGCCTGTCGCCGACATGAGTCACAGAACCAAGCATTTCTGTTCTGTCTGCAGGACTGCTGATTTGAACATTGCTCCACTCCTAAGGAGCTCTTGGCACAACCAAGTGTGTTTTAAAAATCGAACCTGATTGCTAGGATTCACGCAGGAATTACAAGGACTGCCCGGTCAGGCTCGACCTTCCTCGTCCTCCTTCCTTCTGTCGTCATTTTACAATGTCACCAGCGTAATCTGAGAAGCCACAGTCCTTGGGATAAAGGTCTAAAGCCCGAGCAGAGGTCAGAACCCCCTCCTGGGTGAGCAGGTAGCTGAGCCTCACCCGGGGCCAAGCGTCTGCGTGTCTAGCACTCTCCACGGCTCCCAGTGGGCAACTGTGCTGCTCCACCTGCTACTGCAGGACCACACCTGAGAACCGAAAAGGAAACGTAATTTACACCTGGAGCTGACCCAGGGCAGGCATTCGGCTGTGGGGTGGGGGCCCCTGGGACTTCCCGGCCCCCTATGCAGGGCACCCATCCCTGGGCAGACAGCAGTTCGCAGACCCGACAGTCCTTTGGTCAGGGCACGGGGGAGAGGGAGGCGCCGAGGCTCCAGGGGTGGCAGGTGCTGGTGGCCACAGCTCTGGTTGTCTTCACTGCAGGAGGGGCCCTCCCTAGATTTCCTCTCCTGGCTCAGGGCCCCACGGCTCTCGCGCTGGCTCCGAGGGGTGGAGTGCGTCTCTTGAGTCTGGAAAGCGAGGCACTTCCAGAACCCCACGCCCGCCCCCCGGGTTCTGCCTGCGTGCTATTGATTAGCTTCAAGGCAAGCCGAGAAAGAGAATAGTTGGCATGTCTAAAGGTTAAATACGAGGAAGGCTTTGGGACTGAGAACCGGGCTGGACTTTGCCCGAGGCTGCCCCGCCCACCATACGGTGTCCTCCCAGGGCCCTGCGCGGGTGAGTGGACCGGCCTCGTGTGCAGTCTCCCTCGGGTCCAGAGGGAGAGCCTGGCGATCCGGCCAGCACGCCTGAAAGGCGAGTGTGTCCAACACACCAAATAAGAAAGGCTGCAAAAGGCGCAGAATAATTGCAATGAAATTCCCTTTCGGAATCGGAGAGGACGGGGAGACTAAGTTGGCCACGCTCACAGACCCCGCCGGACAGCAGCCCTGAGGTGCCCCCTGCCTGGCGATGGACCGGGGTCCTTGGCGAGCCGCCGGGCGCCTCACCTCTGCTCCCTGGGACACCCTCCTCCACTCGGCCGGTGCAACAGGTTGGCGCCTGTCCCTAGGAGCCACTCACCGTCAGACACTAAGTTCCCCATCAGTGAGGGACGCTCTGTCTTTGAGAAACAGAACCCCCAGTTTGCTGTGAATTCACAGAAAGAGGCGCGTGTCTCTCCCCGAATTCCGGAGCGCGCAGTCCAGGGCTGGCGGGGGCTCAGTGCTGTTCTGTTCTGCCGACCGCTGGCGCCCTGGGACCGCCGCTGCCGTCCGCCCGTTGGAGGCCGGGGCCGGAGGCCAGGGAGTGGCACGGACCGCCTCTCTCCCTCTTGCCCGGAAATCAGCAGATGCTTTCCCGAGAGACTCGAGACATTTGTTTCTACTTTTCTCTTGCCAGACAGAATCGCGGCGCTGAGGTGCCAGGGAAGGGGGAAATGCACGGTTTTTCTAGAGGAGGGGTGTGGAGTAGAGGACAGGGACGGGTGTGGCTGCCACCGGCTCAGTGAGGGCCACCACGGCATTGCCGGGGTATTGGGGGGCTCACGTGGCCTTTCAGGGTCCCTCCAACGTGGCCCAGGGGCGGTGTACTGAAAGCCCTCAAAACTTCCTCAAGGCCAGTGTTTTAGATGAGCACCTAAGGATTTTAAGAAACATTACTAGAATGAATGAACTATTTCAGATCCCCAAGACTAACGGATGTTCAGAACCGACATGTCAATGCATGTCCGATGTCATGCATGGCTTTGTCATCCAACGGAGACGGCTTGGGGGTCGCCTCTGGCTGGGAGGACGGAGACCTGAGAACCGAAGGGTCCCCGTGTGTGGCTGGGAGGGGTCGAGTCTACGCGCATGTCAGGGATCGGGGAAACTCTGTGAGCCAGTTAACCACTGAAGCTCGGCGTGGATGATCAGGGGCTTCGTGAAAGGTTCCAGCTTTGAAAGCTTTTATTAATAATAAGACTGCGAAGCCCAGTAAAAGAAAACAAAAGTATCTTTTCTCTAAGCTCTGACTTGTTTTTCACCTTAATCAGTTCACTAGCATCATTGTTTACATATTTTAGAACCA